AGAGATATCTTCGCACCAGCTTGAGGGGGAGTGTTAGCATATGTTAAAATTGATGTATTATTGATTGATATAATGTTATATTTTTTACAATGATTCATGATTCCTATATATAGAAGAGGGTGAGTGTGTAGTAGGTAAGGAGTAGGTGAAGTGGAGGTGGTAGTGGTGTAGTGGGTTAGGTTTAGTGGAGTAGGTGAGGTGGTAGTGGTGTAGTGGGTTAGGTTTAGTGGAGTAGGTGAGGTGGTAGTGGTGTAGTGGGTTAGGTTTAGTGGAGTAGGTGAGGTGGTAGTGGTGTAGTGGGTTAGGTTTAGTGGAGTAGGTGAGGTGGTAGTGGTGTAGTGGGTTAGGTTTAGTGGAGTAGGTGAGGTGGTAGTGGTGTAGTGGGTTAGGTTTAGTGGAGTAGGTGAGGTGGTAGTGTGGCATCGGCGTCTTGGGCATCCTTCTTTTTATTTACTTAAGCATTTATTTCCATCTGGTTTCGCAAATAATAATGTGTCTGAGTTTCTTTGTGAGTCTTGTCAACTTGGAAAACAACACAGAGCTTCTTTTGCTCCCAGTTTTAATAAAAGTTTAGTTCCTTTTTCATTAATACATTCTGATGTCTGGGGTCCATCTCGTGTTATGTCTGTGAAAGGTCATCGATGGTTTGTTTCATTTATTGATGATTTTTCTCGTACTACTTGGGTGTATCTCTTGAAAGACAAGAGTAAGGTTTTCTCCGTGTTTCGCAATTTTCATAAGATGATTTGTACTCAATTTGGGGCCACCGTCAAAATCTTCTGTTCTGATAATGGGGGAGAATATATAGATTCTGGGTTAGGGCAATATTTTTCTGCTCATGGCATTATCCATCAGACCTCTTGCACTAATACCCCTCAACAAAATGGGGTGGCAAAATGCAAGAATCGCCATCTTCTTGACATGGCTCAGTGCATGTGTTTTTCTATGAGTGTGCCTCGGTCCTATTGGGGCGACGTTGTTCTCACTGCTGCACATCTTATTAATCGTCTTCCTACTCAGGTCTTGCAAAAACAAGCTCCTCTTCAAGTCCTCCTAGGTTCCCAGTCATTGTTTTCTATTCCTCCCAAAATATTTGGTTGTGTCTGTTTTGTTTATAATCACTCTCATACTCGTGGTAAGCTAGACCCTCACTCCCTCAATGTGTTTTCCTTGGTTACTCTCCTACTCAAAAAGGGTATACGTGTTACCACCCTTCTTCTCGTAAGTGGTTTGTGTCCATGGATGTTACTTTCTTTGAGTCTCAGTCCTATTTCTTGTTTTCTCCGGTGTCACAGTCCTCCCTTGTGGGGGAGCCTTGGTGTGAAGTGAGTCCTGTGATTCCTATGGTGGAACCAGTTGTTCTTGCACCAATCTCTTCTACTGGGACTACAGACCCAATGTCACCAAGGACAAGGATAGGGAAGGGCAAGTTTATGTCCAGGACAAAGACAGATAGAAAGTTAACTGGATACAAGGGACCACTTCTGCTCCTCCACTGCCATCTCCTGCTTTTAATGAGAGCCTAGGTAACTTTAAATCTCGAGTCTATTGATCTTGATGTTCCAATTGCCAAGAGAAAGGGAGTGAGATCTTGTACTCAACATCCTATCTCACATTTTGTGTCCTACTCTCATTTGTCATCCTCATACAGAGCGTTTGTGTCAAATATTTCCTCTGTTAGCATTCCTAACCATTTTCAGGATGCTCTTGCTACCTCTGAGTGGAAACTTGCCATGATTGAGGAAATGAAAGCACTTAGGAAGAATGGCACTTGAAAATTGACTGAGATACCTACGGGCAAACGACCTGTGGGATGCAAATGGGTGTATACTGTGAAACACAAAGCAGATAGTTCTATTGAGCGTTACAAGGCAAGACTTGTGGCAAAAGGGTTCACTCAGACATATGGCATTGACTCTCAGGAGACCTTTGCACCCGTGGCTAAGATGAATTCAGTCAGAGTACTTCTCTCTCTAGCAGCTAATCTAGATTGGCCATTTTATCAATTTGATGTCAAGAATGCCTTTTTCCATTGTGACCTCGAATAAGAGGTATATATGGACATTCCTCCTGGTTTTGAGGATCATCAGACAGAAGGCAAAGTATGCAGGCTTCGGAAGTCATTATATGGTCGCAAACAGTCTCTAAGGGCTTGGTTTGAGAGATTTATTCAGGCTATGCTTAAATATGACTTCAAACAGAGTCAGGCAGATCACACCTTGTTTGTGAAACATTCCTCACGTGGTAAGACTACAACACTTATTGTTTATGTAGATAACATAGTTCTTACGGGCAATGATAGTGAGGAAATACTTCTGTTGAAGAAATATTTATCCGGTGAGTTTGAAATCAAAGACTTGGGAAGCTTGAAGTATTTTATGGGAATTGAAGTTGCTCGCTTCAAGGATGAGATATTTATCTCACAGAGAAAATGTGCTTGACTTGTTGAAAGAAACTGGAATGCTTGGCTGCAAGGCATGCGACAGTCCACTGGAACCCAATCAGAAATTGGGGGATGATGAAGGAGAAGAAGCTGTTCATAGGGGGAGCTATCAACGATTAGTGGGTAAGTTCATTTATCTATCTCACTCCCATCCTGATATTGTTGTTACTGTCAGTGTGGTTAGCCAGTTATGCATGCTTCTCATCAGATTCACTTCGAGGCTGTCATGAGAATCTTGAGGTACTTGAAGTCTGTTCCTGGTAAGGGTCTATATTTTTCAAAGTATGATCATCCTCGTGTGGAAGCCTATACAGATGCTGACTGGGCTGGATCAATAACTGATAGGAGATCGATTTCAGGGTATTGCACCTTTGTTAGAGGCAACCTAGTTACTTGGAGGAGTAAAAAACAGAATGTGGTTGTTAGGTCAAGTGCAGAAGCTGAGTTTAGAGTTATGGCACAAGGGGTGTGTGAGCTTTTATGGATCAAGTTATTGTTGAGTGATCTAGGTATTGATCAGACAGACTCCATGCGGTTATACTGTGATAATAAGACCGTTATCAACATCACTCACAATTCGGTTCGATATGACAGGACAAAGCATGTTGAGATTGATTGCCACTTCATTAAGGAGAAACTCACTAGTGGCACCATTTGTACTTCTTTTGTGCAGTCTAGTGAACAACTTGCTGACATTCTCACCAAGGGAGTTGGGAATAAGCCATTTCATGACATATTAGGCAAGCTAGGCATGAGAGATATTTTCGCACCAGCTTGAGGGGGAGTGTTAGCATATTATATTATTATTTGGGTTATTAGTTTGTAATTATTCTATGCCTATCCTAATCATTCCTTAATTTGATTACTCTCTAAAATCATCAGGGATATGTACCCAAATGCTAGATATTCGTATGGTGACATGTCATGGACACATATATCTTACATATTGTATAATATTCTTAGATAAGATAGTAGTAAATTACGTAGAAATGTACTTCAAATTAAATAAGATTTAGGAAAAATATGAAATTTCTCTCTCATCCATGTAAGATGTTGGAAATGTTTCATATTAGCAAATTGAGTTTCTTCTTCTTCATACATTGTAAAAAAATTAGAGGATCCAAGTGTCTAAATTGGGTAAAAGCGTCAGACACATCCCACAAGCTTACTCTTTCATATTCAGTGGACATGGGTACTTGGGGGAAATAGAAGAATCCATGTAACAAAGTACTCTGTCAATATATACAATTTAATAGCAGATTTGGACCTGTTCCTAGAATATATATTCCACAATTATAAAGAATGCATATTCTGATTATGTTGAGAGATGATTCTTGTGAGGCAGATTCAATTAAAGTGGTGCAGATGTGTTGCCATTTCCAGAAAAGAAGAGTACAGGATCAGTGTTATAGTGGATGGAATGTCTTTTGATGGACAGGGACACTATATCTAGTGAGGCATGCAACACATTTGGGAATGTTAATTCCCATTTGAAAGTTCCTAGTTGGTCTAGTTTGGTTTGTTTTTGTTTTCTTAAAAGAAAATTGAATATTACTCGCAATGAATTCAATTATTGGGGTGGAAAAATATAGAGGTTTTTTGGCATACTTAAATATGGATAGAAGGAATTTTGTCAACAACAATGCATCCGCTAAAATAATGCTTAATGCTCAAATTTTCAGGTGGAGAGCAACTGATAATGCACATGTATGGTTGCAAAAATATGTGTTTACAATGCTTCTTTTGAAAAATAATGCTCTTATAGATAGCTTCAAACTTTTGAAAATGAACAAATTGACAAATAGTGTTGAAAAACATATAATAGTGCTGATAATATCAATAATAAAAACTAAATAAGCATATCTCCATTATGACTAGGGATTATATCTGGACTCTGGGTCATTGCATTACAAATAACTTTGACAATGAATTTTAGTTTCATTGAGTTCCTCTGGCTAATGTTTTATGATTTATCTCTTCATGATTAGGATTATTATGATTTATGTCTTCATAATTAGGATTCTCGTTGGGGTAGTCATAAATATTGACATGCTTCAAAAAGCCTTCCTATGGTTGGGTTTTTGGGTGGAGAGTGAAAATGACGAAAAGCATCACCTGATTGATTTTTGATTATATAAAGTTTCAAACTAATAAAGAGACCAATGAATTCAAAACGCAAATCTTGATGAATACAAATAAAATTGTTTTGGTTGTCTTTGTTTCCTCTTCCAACTGTTTGATTTGGAATAGACAAATATGAGTTGTAACTGATTTTTACAAGCAAGCATCTTTTAAAATGCCTGTCTCATTCTTGGAGCCTGGATATTGGTCAGCCCTCTTGAAAAATGAGGTGCAAGAAATCCAGAAGATCCTATTGGGGTGAATATGCATCTCAACTATGTGGCCTAGTAGTAGTTTTGCTTTGTCCTTTTCTTTTCAGCCAAAATCATACCTCAAAATTTATTTGTAGTTGAGAAGTGGTGTCTGATGTTCAATTTATTCCAGTTTGAAGTGCAATCAATTGATGCCAGTTATGCCTTTTTCTTAACAGTACCAGATATCGGTATGTAAGTAAGTTGACTATTAAATTACTCGAAGAAGGATTTGATTTGCAAGAACATTTGCTGGCATTGCGTCGATACCATTTTATGGAGTTAGCAGACTGGGCAGATTTGTTTATAATGTCTCTTTGGCATCATGTATGTTTGACTAGCCACTTTAATGTGTTATGTCTTTAGTTATTTGGTTTGCTAAAACTGTGGTTGCTTCTGATCTTGTTTCTTATCTTGAAACCAGAAATGGTATGTAACAGAGGCAGAACGGAAAGTATCAGAAATTCAGGGGTTACTTGAGATGTCAGTTCAGAGGTCTTCATGTGAAAGAGACCATTATAAGGATCGGTTATTTGTGTACATGAAGGGTAACGGGAATGGCATGATGCCTTTATCGACATCAACAATAGGTAAATCTTTTAAATTTGGAATGTTAGGCTTGGTGTATTTCTTTTAAACTTGGAATGTTTGACTTGGAATGTTGCAATAACTCCCTTTGTTTGTGTGTTTGCTTTCCCTTGCTGTATTTCTTTTCCTCCTTTTTAAACTTGGAATGTTTGGCTTGGTGTGTAACATTCATTTTGTTGTGAATATGGCAGGAGTCGATTCGTTTGATTTTTTAGGGTTGGGTTACAGAGTAGATTGGCCTGTCAGTATTGTTTTGACCCCAGGCGCATTGAAAATATATGCTCAGATATTCAGTTTTCTAATTCGAGTCAAGCTGGCTGTTTTCTCGTTAACTGACGTATGGTGCTCATTGAAGGTATGGATATATATAAGTGTATGTAGTATATCTAAACACTCATGTCACATGCATACAATGTGTATGCTATATGTATATAACAAAATATTTGTGCTGAGTGTCAAATTAAAACAGTAAAACCTGATTGTCAATGACAACTACTTTTATGAGCTCTTACTGGGATGAAAAATCATAGTTGGTTCTTTGTTACTGTGGTCTGTAGTTAGATTATTTTGTTAAATCTTTCTCACAAGAATAATGGGTAATTATATTTGCATAAATGCTTCCGAGTAATTGACTGGTGCCTTCTTTTCTTTGCCTATTCCTTTGTCTCTTTATCTTTATCTGTTTTGTGTGTGTGTGTGTCAGGTAATGGTACTAACGAATGACTGTTTGGTTAGTCTACAATGTTCTAGCCCTGGTCAAAAGATGATGCACTGCAAGTTAGTTGTTTGTCTCTTCCCCTGCACTGTGCACCGAGTTCTGGAACTGCATCAATGCTTACTTGCATCCCATGACCATTTTTCTTGTTTGTATTGTTTCCATTCAAGTTTGCTAGATTAAAATTCAAAACTCAGGTGTTTTTGGAGTTCAAAGAAGCATTTTTATATGTCTACTTTATTTCAATGATCTCGGAGTTGGATTTACTTTGTTGTGTTTACTAGCAACTAGTCAAATAATGATATAATGCCAATTAATTTTTAGTTTCTATTTTAAATTTTATGCCAATTAATTAAGTTTTGGAAGTGCATTCATGCTTCCTTTCTAAGAAGCACGGACATAGACATAGACACAAATTTTCAAAAAAATGCAGGATATGACATGTGGGGGATACATGCAAGCATATAATTTTATATATTTATTATATGTCATTTATTTGAGTATTATATATTTATTCTATTTCAAATATTTGTTCTCATCAAATTGATTAACCTTGGGTATGCTACTTCGATGAAAATTAATTAAATAAATAAATGTGATAGTGTGTTCCTAGTGTGTCTGACTAAAAAAAAGAAACTGACTCTAGCATTTCTGGAGTGCATCCGCATGTGTCTGTGTTCAATGTGTCAACACTAGTACATGACCACCGGAGAGGTGCCTGTGCTTCATAGCTTCCTTACATCCCATCCCATGATAATTCTTTTTGTTTTGCATTCTCTTCATTCAAGCTTTATGATTAATTTCAGAACTCTGGTCCTTATGGATTGTATAGTATTATTTTGACTTAGTTCTGGTGGCCATAGAACTATAGTCTATATCTAGTTTATTATGCTTACTAGCAACTAATTAGTGAGAGGTATACCACAACCAAATAAAAGGCCTACAATGCTTTGAATGTTGATTTCTGGTATACTTCTATTTACATGGGGGTAAAATTAGTTCATGGAATTTAGAAATTGTTTTGGATATTTGATATGGTTCAAATGTTTGTCAACAGGATCTACTGCATTTTGTCAATGAGAATCGTCATTCTGAAGTACACGAACCAGAAATGCGACATTTCAACATCTTAATGAGAGTGAGGTATGCTTCATATTTTTCTTGTAAAAATATTTACTGATTTATGTTAGCTTCTGTTGTCTATCTGTGGTTTTATTTCTAAGCCGTCAACGAATAACTTCCTTTCTAATTGCTTCAGTGATTTTGTTTGATGAACTAAGTAGCATGGTTCCATAGAGGAGCTGTGTTTGTGTTGGATGTTTGTTGGACACTGATACTTCTTAGACATACCAGTCACGTATCTGACCCTTCTTGAATTTGTCCATAATCTAAAATTTTTGGATGCTTGGCCAACACTTCTTGGATGGCCATCCAGCACATAATGGGAGCATTGCCCAACACTTCAAGAATAGGATGAAGACATCCCTAAATTTCCAATCTTGAAGGAAAAGTTTGATTTATGTATTTATCTATTGGTTTGTCCTACTTGTTTAGAATTTTGTAGTGTCTGCTTTTCCTTGTTGTATATGTATTTGTGTCCTGTATTGTATCTTCTCTGCTTAGATCTGAATATTTATAATGGCTTTGTAGACGGTGGCTCAGTTTTTAGAGCGTGGAAGTAGTAAAAGGCCTGCCCTTTGCGGAATCAGCCTCTCCACAAAATAGTGGGGGTTGTAAGGCTGCCTACCTCAACTAAACCCAGCTGCATTTAAGATTCTTGTGCACAATGTACAACCCATTATGTACTTGGTCTACCTTTAAGCTTTAGGGAGTAGTCCTTGGAACTTGTGATTTTGGGATCCCATAATTGAAAGATTAAAGCATCTGCATATGGATAGTAAGAGAATGTTGTAGGGTTTCTAGCTTGGAGTCTTGCTTGATTCATACTGCCACTTGATTTCTTTCTCTAGATGTTCGTCAAGTCATCCAAGGATGTGAATCTTGTTCCATACCAGCCGGTGCTGGCCGAATGTACCATTTTAACAAGAAACCAGTACAATAGACCATTTTAGCAAGAAATTGATACAACGGATTGCCAATTCTGTCTCAATTAATTTTCAGCCTGTACTGGACTATTTTGGATATGCAGGAAATTTTACGCACTTTCCAACAGGCAACAACAGTTATAGCAGTTGCAGGCTTGTAGCAGGGAAGAAAAACAGCATGGTAGAGAAGAGAAGTAGCAGCAGAAGGAGGAGAAAGGGAGAAAAGCATTAGAAGTAGGGGAGAAAAGAGGGAAGAACATCAACAGTAGTAGTTGGGAAGTAAAAAGGTAACAACAGAGGAAAGAAGAAGAGACTGAGAGATGTAGAGAAGAATAAATAGAAACTGAGAGAGAGAGAGAGAGAGAGAGAGAGCTTTTATTCGTTTTCGAAGTGTAATTTCGTTTTACATCAATAAGGCCTATTTATAGGCTTAATGAGACTACTAAAACACGTAGATATCCTCTAAAACTAAGGCTATCTAACATAGTAAGTTAATAGTACTAAAATTCTATGATTCAATCTTCTAAAAGTCTGATTAAAATCAAAATACAACTAGATTAAATCAAAGACTCCTAAAAGACGAATCCCTTAATATTTACCAACTTCTTGTGGGCCTCACATATTCTTGACTGCATCATTACCCCTGATATTAACATTTTTCGTGGGCATTATTTTGGTGGGTTTGGCAAAAGAAAGCCAACATCATTTTCTGTGCTGCATGCTTGCTTTGATTTGTGACGTTTGGTTGAAAAGAAATATTAGGACCAACCTTTGAGGATAAGTAGTCATGACGGAAGGATCTTTTGGGTCTGGTTCATTTTTTGACTTCTCCATTGGCCACGGTTTCCATTGGAGTTATGGGGGGTGGCTTTGAGTTTTGTTATCACAGATAGCGCAGTGAATGGTTCCTCTGACATCTTAATTTGCACATCTATTGGATGGACCTCTAGGAGGGAAATTTGAACTTGATTTTGACAAGATTGCTACGTGAAATCAAGATAAACTTGCTGTTCGAGAGGGAGATGTGTAAAGCTTACATTGATTTACAATTATTCTTCTGCCTCCTGTCTGAATTCCAAATGTGTGTGATGTTTTAAGTTAAGAGCTTCCGAATTAAATCTGAGAATAGTTCTACTGAAATGTATGTTGAGCTGACAATGACATCATGTTACTCTTCTTATTTCAGGCACCAGGTTAATCATTTTGTATCTACATTGCAGCAGTATGTTCAATCACAGTTATCCCATGTATCCTGGTGCAGGTTTCTTGACTGCCTTAAGCATAAGGTTTGAGGCAACGTGTATTCTGATTTCTCTCTAATTTTCTACTTTTAGTTTCATCCATTACATGCTAGACTGGATATTGAGTCTATGTTTTATGTTTTGAAGTGTTTGGGTTTGTTTCAATCTAAGAAGCATGGACATGGACATGGACATTTTGCAACAAATTAGGATAAAGACACAATGAGGATACAACACAATTTATTTATTTATTTATATATTTTTATTTGCTATGTATAAAAAGGGCGTACCCAGTGCACGAAACTCCCGCTTAAGCGGAGTTTGGGTAAGGGTTGATGTACGCAGCCTCACTCCCCGCAAGCGGAGAGGCTGTTTCTGCGACTCAAACCCGTGACCACCAGGTCACCCAGGGGTAGCTTTATTGCTACGCTAGGCCTGCCCTTCATTTTTATTTGCTATGTATATGAATATAAATTTAGATTTTGGAGATATAAGAGGCAACAATGTATATGTGGGTGGGCGTATTTTTGTTTTTCCACTTTCCCCCCTTTGTTTGCATATATTCAACTTTAACTCCAAATCAATTTTCTAAAAATTATATATATATATATATATATATATAAAAACTCATAAAGACGTCCCTATGCGTGTCCAAACACAGGATATGCATGTCTGTGAAGTATCTTGTAAAAAAAAATAAAAAATTGCCCATGCATGTACCTGTGTGTCTATATTTGATACGTGTCAGACATGGACAAGGTATCCATTTTGAAGTGTCCATGTTTTCTAGGTGATGACTCAACCATGGCCTCTTCCTCTAGAAGGGGTAGGTTAAGTTGATGATTTTGAGGCTACTTAACAACAGTCAAGGCAACTATTTGCCGTGCCAGCACGTTAAATTGATTCTCAAACAGTTGAAATCATTCCTCAAGTCATGCAATTCATGTAGCTATAGGGCGTTCATAGTAGTCTTTAATAGCAGCAGCCCAGCCACCACTTCCTCCAAGTGCCATGATCAGGACTCGTGCAAACTCAGATACCAACTGATGTAGAAAAAGCGTGTAGAAGCAGAATTTGAGCTATAAGATAACAGCTTTTTATAATTCTGTTAATTTTAAGAACACCCATAATGTAGAGCAAAAAAGAAGAGAAACTTTGTAAAATTTTATTAACCTCCAAAACTTTGATTATACCCTAGTCTTGTAAGGCTATTTATGAAAGAAAATCCTAATCCTAGTAATCCTTGGAGTGATTAAAAGGAAAAAAAAGAAAAAGCAAATAAAACCAATCCTAAAATGTTAGATTTTGGCTTGACAATAGCCTTGAAGAAAGCAACACAAAACGAGTTACCAAAAATAATAGAAGTATGCAAAATCATAAAAGTGCCCAAAACATAGTTGCATCATTGATTATGTATCTTCTTTTTCTACTCTATATTTTGGGGTACCCTTAAAAGTCATAACCAACAGAATTATGGAAACATGATCTTGCTGTGTGAGTTTTGCTTCTACATACTTTCTTGCATCAACTTGTCACTTTGTTTATCTGATATTGTTGAAGCTATTAATACTGATGGATTTGCTATAATCATGTGTCCATAGAAAGATGACATACATCTAATTTCAGAATTGTTGCTTTGTTGCATGACACCCTTTCACATTTTCTATTTTGACCCTTGGCTTTTGTAGGTGAAAGATATGATGGATCTCAAGTCTGTGCACATGGCATATCTAACTGATTCCCTGCACATGTAAGTTTTTGTTTTTCTATTTCTTGAAGTTTAAGAAGTTATTTTTTGGACCTTTTGTTTGTTTGTTTGTTTTATATGTTTTTGTTTTTGTTTCTATTTTATTATTTTTGGGTTTGTGAGTTAATGTTGTAATATTTACCCTTTTGTAGCAACATCTCTTTTTTATCCTCTCTTTCTCTCTCTCCCGTGCACACACACAAAAGCACAGGAAAGTCGGAAGAAATTGAGAACTGATAGTTGTCTTTCAGATCCCTGAATTTAATCCTTGCTACTGAATTCATAGTCAGACAGAAGTCTGAAAATTATAACTAATAGAGATTGCAGAAGACAGAAGTAAGGGTAGTAGAGAGAATAATCTCTGACATAAATATTATTATCTAACACAGATTACAATACATTAGCTGTACACCAACTTATATAGACCTAATCGTAGGATATAGTTGGCGGTACATTACATGTTTACCACCTCAAATTACATTTAATATTTCCTAGTTCCATTGACATGCAGTCAAAATTTATCATCCAGCACAAGTTTGAGATCACCAATTCTCACCTTGTGATCACAATCTTAGTTATTAGAATCATATGATTCAATTCGATTCGATTTAGTGGGTAATCAACATGAACAGGTTGATGAATAGCAAATAGCTGCAAATCGTGGGTGAATATGAGTGAACTGTGAATCGATCAATTCACTGAAATCGATTTTTTGCCCTTTTTTTTTTTTGTTTTTTTAATTATTGGAAAAGGAAAAGGGTTCACACTACCTTTTTAAGGTTTACTTTCTTTCTTTGTATTTACTCTCAAAGATTCAAACCCTGGGGGAACAAAAAAAAAAAAGAACCTTCTCTCTCTACAAATTCTAGGCTAACATATTCAACTTCATCGAAGTGTTTGCAATTATAAAAAGAATCTTTTTAAGGAGGTAGGTGAGATTTTTGAAAATGTCTGGAGATTTGGGTTTCCTCACCTCACTTTGATGTGAGAATTCTATTACTTTAGTTGTAAAGAGTTTAAAACATCATTGTTGAGTTATTGTTACTTGGAAATTGGGAGTTTGTCTTTGTTTACTCTCCTCATTTAGAATGGTTGATAAGAAATATTTAAAAGGGAAAAGGTAAGGCTGTGATCTTACATGAGAACTCATGTTAATTTCTTACCTATTAAACCGTGTAATCATCATTTAAAATGTAAGAATTTATGTAATTTATGTATTATTGATTTATTGATTGATATTGATTCTGTTACAATTGATTGATTATATAGATGTAGGTAGAAATATTTAAAAGGGAAAAGGTAAGGCTGTGATCTTACATGAGAACTCATGTTAATTTCTTACCTATTAAACCGTGTAATCATCATTTAAAACAACATTTTCATTGATTGAAGTCTAAATATTTTTTATTTGTAAGATATATTTAACAATTTAAGTGTATAGAATATAGATATAATTTTTATGCAATTTAGAAAAAGTGACCAAATCTTTACGATTTACGATTCGATTTGCAATTCATCTTGATTCATGATTCCTAATGATCACAATCACTCTTGGTAGTGATTAACTAACCATTTTCCAAGTATTCATCGTATTTCTGAGGTTGATACCAATCAACTTTTTGCAGAGGAGATGAATCTCTGCTAAAGAATATATCCTCCAAATTCATTTCAAGATGTTGAATGACATCCCTGATCTTCCATGGGATCATAACTACAACTTATTGTTGCTGTGATCTTTCCTCAATCTTTCATTTATGTGCTGCACTTAATTTTTTTATAATGCAATATAGGGAACTCAGTAGGATTGAACTTGCTCTGATACCACTGAATGCAATCCAAAACTATAAACACATGTTGGAGCTGCAAGAAAACAAGCCCTAGGGACTGTAATGAACCCTAGAAGGGTAGTAGAGAGAATAATCTCTAAAATCGATATTTTAATTCAACAAAGGTTGCCATACATTAGCTGCACACCGACTTATGCAGATCTAATTGCATGCTTACCACCTTAAACAAATATATTTAATCCTTCCTATTTCCAAGGTGACAACAATAGAAATCTTAAACACTGAACAAGGAAAAGGGGATTTCTTTGGAATAAATGAATAATTTAAAGAGGGGAGGAGAGGATTAAAACAAGGGAAATTCTAGTAGAACATAAATGATTTCATGATTGGCTTTATAGAAAAGATATGGTTGTGGGATGGCAAAATAAGATTGTGCATCCAACCAAAATAGTTATGGTTAGCATAGTTGTTAACTTCTTGTTTTCATCATTATCATCGTTAATAGATGTAGTACCATTTAATTTTTATATAAATTCTTTATGATGTTTTTGTGATTATCCAAAGATACGTCTTCTACAGCTACTCTCAAAATTTCTATTTTTTTTTTAGTACTACTATCTTGTTTGTTGTTCGTTGGTGTCATGATTTGAAGTTGATTGTTAGCATTTCCTCTTCAGATGTTTCTTGTCTGATGAGCTGCAGTCCATAGCCAGCATTATCGAAAACATTTTGCAGTGTGCACTAGAGTTCAGGGCTTGTCTGATAGGATCCATGTATGATGCTGGACTTGATGGAAATTTTTCAGATAAACTCTCTCGGATCAACATTTCCCAGGTGGGTCTCATGTCTTGATTTCTTACTTACAATTTTTAATTTTTATTTTTTTGCTTTAATAAATTTAGTATATTACTTTGGTTTGTGGAGACATACGCAGGGGTATTCTGGCATAATAATTATGAGATCTTCAATTTTGAAACTGCTCATAATCTAGAATGGGTTTCCCACAGTTGGCATTTTGAATGTAATTGTAGTGCTTTCAAATTTGTACTTTGCTTCCAATTGTACTTCCCTTTGTCAAACATGGCCCTAAGATATTGAAATATAACTTTCTTATGTACTATAAAAGGTAAAATTATTAGGAAAAATTCAGATCCAGCCTCCGCCCAAGATAGAGCAGTGTTGATATTCTATAAGCATTGGATATTGAAACTTCTTCACATGTATCATCTATTCATGTTCAAATTAATTGTAGAATTTTGTATTTGATAGCTTCAATTGATTATGGTTTTATTTGGTTTGGTTTGTAGAGTACAAACAGAGGCAGAAAGTAACCAAACTCTAACCCCTAATTGTTGATGACTTGCAGGTGCTTGCCATAAAGCGAACGTTTGATAAAAATCTCAAAGAGCTGCATTTGTGTTATCTCAAGACACCAAAACACAGGGAGTTTGCTCTTTCGCATTTCTGGAGTTATCTCAATTTTAATGAGTACTACTCAGATGTTAGTAACGAAACAAGTCACTACGCTTTTTCAGTCTAATGTTGTGTTCCACTCTGGTGATGATGAGCAGTTAAATGGGGTCAAAACTCCATTGATGAATCTCACACTATCTTCAATTTAGAGTCTCAAATTATGATTTGATCTCAACTGTTGCATCTAAATCACTTCACATCAAAACATTCACAATTCACACTCTATTCGCTTGATCACTATGCCCCTTTTGAGTAATGAAGCTATTGATAAATGGAGATTGGAGCGTGGGACTTTATGGAGGCTATTGGGTCTATGGTGTGTAATGATGTCAAGGGTGTTTGGAGCAATGATCAAGCATGTTGAAGTTTGTGGTGGGCTAAATTCTACGTGTACTTGGGTTAGAGGTTGTAATTGTTATTATTTGAGCCTTGTAACCATACGACTAAATAGAAATTTGTTTTTGGGTGTTCGGATTGTGAATCTTGCCCTATATAAGTGGCCTTCTATAGGATTTTCATGTCAAATGTGTCTCATAGTTTAGAAAGCTCTTTTCTTTTCTTTTCTTTTTTATTGAGATTTCTGGAATTGATTGTTTAATCTCCTAATTGATTGATGGATAAATTGATTTGTGATTGGTTATTTGTTGAGCAATTGTTTAAATTCAGTAAAATTCTTCACTTGACCAAATTTTATTTTGGCATTGATTTTGAGAATTTGGTCATTTTTAAATTGGCTTTTGATTGGCAAGTCCAAAAAAATTATTATTGAGAAAGTCCAAAAAGGCATTTCCATATGTTCTGGGTTATTGTTCAAAGATAATACGTTCTGGGTTAGCAGAAGGTAAATGAGCTGTGGGATATTTGGGGTGGGTTTGTGATATCCAAACTCATGAAAGAAAGCTCTTGACATGGATTTGGCTTCTCTAATATGGATCAATGGTCAAACCAAATGTTTAATGTTGTGTTTGAGTCATAAATTTGAATAGAAATTTAAAAAATGAAAAGCAAAGAGAGAGAGATGAAGAAAAATTTTAGTTTATATTTTATTTACATTTCACTGACTTTTTTTTCTTTTTCCTTTTTCTTCTTTTCTAAATTTTTACTTAAATTCATAATTCAAAATACAATCCTAATTTAAATAAAAAACAACCTAAAGAGTTGAAAGTTGCCCATCCACAACCTTTCTCATTATGATGATGAGGCTATGTGAAAGGATACAAAGGAGGGAAATGTTAGGAATTTATAATTTTAGACTCATAAATTTACTCACAATTGTGTGACGAGGGAGTTAGACTTATATAGTTTAGTATGTAACAAATCAAAAGTTGATATGTGAATCAAATTGGAGAAGTTTTTCTTAGGGACCTCAAGCATTTTCTTTTTTTATGCCATTAAAATTTATAAATGAAAAAAAAATGTTAGAGATCCACAATGTACATCATATCATATACCACATCAATAGAGGTCAAATTGTGAAAACCTTTTTAAGGTCTCCATTATTTTCTTATCCAAAAAAGAAAAAAAAAAAAATTGGGTACCATATCCCAAAATCTCTTTTATCTCCCTAAATTACCTTCATTCTCATAAACTATCAGTTGCATCTATTTCTTCTCTAAACTTTTAAATGCCAACTATTTATTAACACTCTGTTTATTTTGGTGGAAAATAATTTTTAGAAAACATTTTTTTATGTTTTTGAATGTTTGGTACAATAAAAAATAGAAGTCAACTAAAAATATTTTCTATAGTCAATGGAAAGCAAGCTTATTTTGGCATAAAATATTTTTTATTTTTAAAAAGCAAAAAATATTTGTTGGACTAAAATTCTACCAATGTCACCATACCACCACCACCACCACCACTATCAACTCCACCACATCACCATGGGCACTGCCACCATCACCACTGTTGTCGCCCCACCATCATGCCACCACCTCCACCTCCACCTCCACCCCCATCCCCCAAAACCACTGCTGCTACAACCTCCATCTCATTACTACCATCACCATTGTAACACCCCAAATTTCTAGCCCAAATGATAATACAACAATTGTGGCTCTTTCAAGGAAAACCGAACATAAATCTCCAAACTTACATTACATGATACAATAGTTCTTCATGCAACAATACATTAATCCAACAACAAGTAAATAAACAAAAAAAAAAAAAATTGGGTACCATATCCCAAAATCTCTTTTATCTCCCTAAATTACCTTCATTCTCATAAACTATCAGTTGCATCTATTTCTTCTCTAAACTTTTAAATGCCAACTATTTATTAACACTCTGTTTATTTTGGTGGAAAATAATTTTTAGAAAACATTTTTTTATGTTTTTGAATGTTTGGTACAATAAAAAATAGAAGTCAACTAAAAATATTTTCTATAGTCAATGCAAAGCAAACTTATTTTGGCATAAAATATTTTTTATTTTTAAAAGGCAAAAAATATTTGTTGGACTAAAATTCTACCAATGTCACCACACCACCACCACCACCACTATCACCTCCACCACATCACCATGGGCACTGCCACAATCACCATTGTTGTCGCCCCACCATCATGCCACCACCTCCACCTCCACCTCCATCTCCACCTCCACCTTTTTTCGACTACTACCACTACCAAACATGAAAAAATATTTTCTTTAAAAAATATTTTTTTAAAATTTTTTTTTGTAGAAAAATATTTTTTGTCCAAACAAATAGAGGGTAAATAAGCTTGGTGGAGCTTGCAAGGTTTATAAGGATTTGGGAAAATTAAATTTAAAAAAAAAAAAAAAAAATCATAGTGTTTAACTCTCGTAACAAATTTGATTTTTTAATTTTGTCAATTTAAATTTAAATTTTTTACCTTGTTTTTAATCTAAATTATGTCTATTTTCGTTACGTAAAATTAGTAAAAAAAAATGATATTTTACTTATGAAACTCAATAAAAAATGATATTTTAAACATTTCATGAGCACTCACATTGAGTTTAATGACTTAAATACTCATTTTGCATTGGTCTTACGTTACAAAAATAGGTTAATGGTTTAGATTAAAAATAAATTAAAAGATTGAGGTTTAAATTGACAAAATAAAAAATTTAAGATTTATTTTGTTACAAGTGTCACACTCTTAAGGCTTTTTTTTTGTAATATTTTCTAAAGATCTAGTTGGGTTAATTTCATTTTTATCCCTCCAAAATTATTGTTAGTTTTTCTATGTTATTCATAAACTATCAATCACATTTATTAAATTTCTACTAATGTGAATATGGTTATCCAAATCCATAACCGTCGATTTCTAAAAATCAATATATAAAAAACGTAAAATAAATTTTAAGAATTTTTTTTTTAAAATGTTTATTATTTAATAATTTTTGTAATTTTAATATTTATATTTTTTAGGGGGATGCACCAATAAATCCCAAATTAATGACTTATGCACTGTTTAGTCCTAAAAGTTTTCTTATAGACTGAAAGGTCCCATTACAATGTTAATAACATCAGAGTCATGTTACAAACATTGGATTTCAAACATCTAATGTTCATCAAATTTCAATAATGTTTGAAAATATAGGATGAAAAACATCTAATGTTCATCAGATTTCAATAAATTTTGAAATTATAGAATGAAACATCAGATTATTTACATCATTCACATCATGTTGATGTAAAAATAGGACTAAATGGAGTATAAAAAAACTTTTAGGACTAAATGGTTCAACGTTTCAAAAACTAAGACTTATGAATAAATTTTCCTATTTTTTATACTTCCAAATTTTAATATATTTTTGACATAACGGTTCATTTTCAGTTCACTCGAACCAGAGACCCATCTACACAATTACTTTTCCGATTCACTTCCCAATCCAATTTTCAAAACGTTGCTGTGTATAGTTTAATATGAAAAGCACAAGTTCAAAAGGAAATGGGCATAACCGTCGGCCTTTTTCGGCCCAGTAATTAAAGGTCCTTTGTAAGCCCAAGTAAGAATCCAGGCAACATTAATGGGCCCAGACCGGCCCAACGAAAAAGAAAGAATATCATGTTCCACTGCCGGGAATTAGAGAAATTCCACAGCAATTTGTGCTACGGCAGATTTAGAAGCTAATGTATTGCTAAACAATTGTTTTATATATACATAAAAGGTTTGGACGATCTTAAGTTGGGCTTAGTGAGGCCGTTTCGGGGCAACAAAACCGTTTATTTTTTAGGGATCATTGAATAGTATGTTCATGTAAAAAATAAAGATAATCAAATATCAATAGTTATATATTTAAATTACATTTGTTTTTAAAAGAAATAGACGATAAATATAATTTCAAAAAATATTCATTTTTGGTAATATAAATGTGATTTAAACATATAATTAACAATATACAATTATTTTAATTTTTTGCAAGAATAGTATATTTAACGAATTTTGAAAAATAAACGATTTAAATTATCGAAATCGGTCTTAAAATATACCACAAAGTCCAAACTATTCTCTTAAATTCAATGGATAACTTGAGAGAATTCAAATCTATGTTGATATTATCCAATTCATATACACACTTGAAGGATTTCGTAAGTATTATATGTCTTGATCCCTAAATTTTAAAAATAATTAAAATACTACAAAAGGTTTATTAAAGGGGAATTTTTTTTAAGATCCCTAGTATTAAGATTTTATAGGATAAAGGATATGCAGTATTTTTATAGTAGTTGGGGTTCATCAACATTTTTCTAGAGAAATTTCGATCCAGAGAAATTTCGCTGAGTGTGTTTATGCGTTCATGTTTGGAATTTCGCTAGACACATCACAATCACCTTAGAATTTCTCTAAGTGTGTTTGTGTGTTCAAGTTTAGAATTTCTCTAGGCATTTTCACAGAAATTTCTCTAGACACATCACAATCTCACAGTGTTTGAGACAATTCACACAGTGACCATAGCCGGAGAAAATTTATATAATAACCATAGCCAAAGAAAATTCACAAAATTATAAACAGTGACCACAACCAAAGAAAATTCACATAGTGATCACAGTCAAAGAAAATTCGTACAGTCAGACAGAATTCATACAGTCAAAGAAAATTCACAAAATTACAAACAATGGTCAACACATTTTTAGTATCTCTATTGCAGCATTCATACACTTATTAAATTAACAAATTCTTAATACATAAAATTGAGTCTCATTTTCATTATTTTTATATAATTATGCTGACTTTTCTTTTAGTAAGGTTAAAAGACCCAAAATTAATGTAAATGGTGTAAAAATACAAAAATAAATAAGGTAAATAAACATTTGAGTATAAAAAAAATGATAATATCTTTTTTTCATTCATATGGCTAACAAATTTTTTTTTTTAATAATAAAAATGGGACTAAGCATTATATGAATTAAAATTTTAAGAGAACATGTCAAACTTGTTTGACTTACTGTATTTTATCTAAACTTAAGGGTAGAGCAATGTAATTTATCCTAAATTAAATTAATAGTTTAAAGATAAAATATAAAAAAATAAAAATAATTTAAGAGATAAAAATGAAATTAACTGTGTAGTTTAATAGCAAAAGCACATGTTCAAAAGGAAATAATAATATTCCGCTGCCGGGAGTCGAACCCGGATTTATAGAAATTCCACAGCAATTTGTGCTACAGTGAGG